GCAGAACAAAAAAACAGAAAAAAAACACGCAGAACAAAAAAACACGCGGAGCAAAACAAAAAAAACTCGTTCCGGTAGCCGGGAATGAACCCAAAATGCAAAATGGGCATCCTAGATGGTGGGGCCACCTTTTTCTCGCGAATTTGGTGCACTCCTGTTCCATGGGCTTCACAAGGGACCCCTAAGTTTGAAACCATGAGGGCTGCATCTCCCAGCAGACAAGGCATTTAGCTCGCATGCCCGTCCCGTTATTTAGGGCTCTAAATGAATAAAGAACATTAAGAATAGGTCTCAGGGACATCTTAGACTATAGCTACAGAAAGACGTCTTGTAGCGGGATAATACAGGCCATTATTTAGGCTTTCCTTAACAAGTTGGTACAACTAGCCAGGACGCATCGTCAGAGCGAAATCTCTTGTTGAACTTCAGAACTGGTTCCTGTGAGGCGGGAGCGCAAGCAAGCACTCCAAACCGTCACGCCCCGTCCTGTAGGACATTAATAATCACCAATAGTATTTTAGATAGATTCTATCTGAGGAACCGCATATCATGAATATATAAGGCACCTAGAACTAATTTGTTTTTGCCCCTCTGATGATCACAGGCCCCTCCTACTTACTGATTCGAAGTCGGGAATGAGGGAATACATTACAAAGGGATGATATAAGGATTGTATTCCCTTACTGCCCTACTAAGCACCCGCCAATCTAACAACAACTACCAGCATTGGCACAGAAGCACCCCAGCGCGAATATACCATAATGTACTATAATACAGATAACCTGCTACAGTATACATATACTATGATATACTATGATATACTATGATATACTATGGTATACTATGATATATTATGTTATACTATGATATACGAGGTTGCTGCCAAGGCGCTGGGCCATGTGGCCCAGGAGCCCCGAGCTGAACATTCAGCCTTTGCTTCTCCATGCCCGGTTTAGGCTTTAATCACCCTAGTAAGCCTAAGGGCCCATATTAGGGCCCCATACTCTAGCCTTAGAATTCTATCTTCCAGACTAAAAAAAACCAAATCGTGCTTCTGGGACATGAATTCTTAATGGAAAAGGCTCAAGATGAGGAAGAAGAGATGAGCATTGGAGCCCATGAATCTACACACGCCCTGAACAGCAACAGTAGATTGAACATATTTGACAATGACATGTAGTCTTAATCGTGCTGTCATTTTCTGCAAGCATAATACATGGAAACAGGTCCGTACCTTCAGCAGCCAGCACCCCAACCCAGAATCAGAGCTATCAGTGGAAAGCGTTCAGCGCTTGAGGTTACTACAGAAAATTTGCTGGCTTTGGTTTTGAAAGCTCTCCTGCCCCTGTCTTGCATACCACCTCCGACTACCCCTCCACCCTTACCACACCCTACCCCATGCGTCCCACCCTTAATCTTCTAGACTTCCACCACAAACATCAGTGCAATCTTCAACAGGCTTCAGCAAGATGAGCGCTACAGGGCAAAGGTTGAGTCCTGCGTCGGGTCCCATGCGGGTCCTGGAAGCATGGTCTTGCTGTGCGCGTGTCCTTTCCCCAACAGCCATGTCGCGGATCCCGCGCGGGTCCCATACATTTCCCATGCGGGTCAACCCTACACGCAGGGACTGAAGCTCTAAATCTTTAAAAGCTTGATCGCCCAGGCGCATGTTGATGTCCGAGTCAATCTCCCAGTTCTGTGCCGACTTGGCCTGAATCTTGGAATCGAAGCAACGAGCAATAGCAGAGGCATTTCACAGCAAGCTCTGCATATTGCTTTTGGCATCGGATAGGATAGAGGCAAGGCAAGGCCGCTGCGAACAATAGCTCTACAAGGAGCCCAAACAAAGACCCCGGCAGGGCAAAAGCAAAAAGCTGCTACAGGACCTAAACAAGATTTCAGTCGGTACAACTGGGCAACCGCTCAAACATCCACACCTCAGAAAGACCCTCTTGGGCCTGCGTTCCGCGGAACGAGACCACGGCCACCTACCAAGAGGTTCTTGGGGAGTCCCTTCTCAGGGACGCTCAGTAGAAGGGATTTGGCGCCAGCATTGGGGGATACATGATTGATTTGACCGCTTGACAGAGGTTTGCGAAAATTCAGACTTGCCAGACAACTTCTGCTGCTCACCTGAACCTGTGTTGCACCCAAAGACCATGCCTGTGCGCTCGCAGATTTGTACACTCGCGCGTGGACGTTCTCTGCGTCATCGTTGAGGTAGTACTCCTCTTCAGGGCCCGCACGCATCACAAAATCATGACAAGTGTTAGGACTACCTGTGCAGCATGCGCAGGCTGTTGCCCCGAAGCAAGCTCTGGCGTCAAACAAACTGTACTTTTTCAGACAGAACTCTAGACCAGCAGAGTTTCCAAGCAGCCCCTGACCTACTCCAGCCCATGCCATGAAGACTCTCACCTATTTCAACTGATATGGTCATGATATGTCATGATTACTAGTATGATTATTTTTCCTATTGTTACTGCTATTCGCTTTTATTCCTATTCTCGATAGGGCCACTAATAATATTATTGCTAGCATTACTACTACCTTGATTGCGAACATCAGCCTTATGATTATTGTTGCTCCCACCTCCCAGTCGGAGATGCGAGGGCAAAGGTTCACAACCCGCTCTCGAAAGCCTCGAGTCACGAGCGCAAAGTTTGGCCTGGGCCTTACAGCTAGGTATGTATGAGCTATCATGAAAAAACTCCTAGTATGCCCCTTAATAAGGCTTCGAACCCTACATAGTCCCCAATAGAATCCCCTAGGAGTGTAGAGTACAGCTTGTATAAGGAGTAGTCCTCTCAAAGGGGTTTCTAGGTGTCTGCAGGGTCTCTTCGAGGTACGGAGTGTAAGGCTTGCGGATCCCAACAGTTGAGAAATAACGGGAAAGAAAGTTGATCAAACTGGGATTATACCGTGATTTAAGGTTTAGGGGCTAGGTAGGCACGTCACGAAACACTGGCATCTATCTTAATTATACGGGGATATGGGGCTATAGCCTGGTTAGGTGGTCTACGCGCTTGTAGCTAAAGTCAGCCCTACAATTACAATCCAAGGCAGGAAGCGCCCCTATCTCGCTGAAGGCGCGGAAGCGCCTCCTTCTACACCTATAGTCCCCCTTAAGTAGATAGAATATGGGCTATATGGGGATATTACTATAAAAAATACCCAAAGCCATATTCTATCTACTTAAGGGGAACTATACTTCATGGCTTCTTTCTTTAAGCATGCCGTGAAGGTGCCTTCAGGCTTTAGCTCCCTCATAATCTATCAATGCCACCAAGAAGCCATGTTTAGCTCTGGCCAACATCTGCTTGGAGGCAATGCCAGCGTGCCTTCGAGGAAAAGGTTTTCTAAAGGCTTTAAAGCCCCATATCTTGGAGATCTAAGTCTAGCAAGATAACTCAGTTTGCACTCTCAAGTACAACATGCCTACTTGGAACCCCCAAGGATGAACATCCAAGATAGAGTGCAAGATCAACGTCAGTTGCAACACAGACCTGCTCCCTTCGCAAACACTTGCGAACATCGCCATAACTCCAAAGTATCAACTACAACCATAACTGAACATTAAAGCGCCCCACACCCTAATATAAAATATTCCCAAGACATTATACCACAATGGGACTGTTTCATGTTAGGGGACGTAGGGGTGGGGGGGGGAGAGGATTGCTCGTTGCGGAGTCCACGCATGTGCTGATGGCCTGGTGATGTCCTGGAGGCGCCGGTCCGGAGCTTCAGGAAGTAACACCTGGGAAGTACTGTGCTGTAGAGGTCTAAATCGACGGCCTGAGTACATGCTGGGTTATACAGGATAAGATGAAGGCTATTCAGGGGTTTCGGGATCCTACCCAGATAGTGGCGAATTAGGTGTAGAGAAAATTGACGATAAGACTGGGCTTGTATGGCAGTTATAGGGGCCAATATCATTTGAGGTCTAGCCATTTGAAGTACCGTATACCATAATTATACGACGAATCTAAAAGCAGAGCATGGGTTTCGACAATCATCAGCGGACGCCCCCGCTGCATGCTGTAAACCCTACACCCTGAACTATATCCCAATGTATCCCCTATATACCCGTAAATACACTCTCTTTTTCTTTTCAGTTCGTTCAAAGGGACTCGAACCCGAATCCACTTTACAATTCCAGTGTCTACCAACAGCGCATGATTCCCTGCTAGCAAGGACAGGCACATCGATGCCAGTCCCGACTGCACAAACCTGAAGACGGGAAACCTGATGTGGTAGCTCGACCCTGTTGGTATAGCCTCTTTACCAGCCCCTGTTAAAAGGCCCACTATATACCAAGCTTACACATCCTGATTCAGTCCTTAAAGACCCCGCGAAAGGGATCGTATTTGTTCTGGTTAGGACTCCCACTTAACGAAACCTAAAGCCACACCGTAAATCCTATATGCCCCAATATATCCCTACATACCCCCCTATAGAGCCCCACATTTCCCTCTTGGACCTAACCCTAAACTCTAAGCCCTAACCCTAATCCCAAGCCCTCAACCCTAA